CAGTCCACTCACCTCAGCCTCCCAAGGCACGGGATTACAGGCTGAGCCACCGAGCCCGGCTTAGTGTAGAATTCTTACCTTCACTTATTCATCCATGCATTCATCTATCCATCCAATATGGAGATCACTCATTTACTCATTCATTTACCTATTAAATGTAGAAATGTCCTTCCTTCCTTCCTTCTTCCCTCTCTCCTGCCCTTCCCTTCTTCGAAGTTGAGATTCTTTTGTTCATCTGTTCAGCCATTTATCTACCTAGTCAATACAGAGATTCATTTATGCATCTAGTCATTCATCCATTCCGTGTAGAGATTCACTCACTAATGCAGTGCTTTTGTCTTCTGTTGCTGGGTAACAAATTACCATACATTTGGCAGCTTGAAACAAAACACATGTATTATCTCAGTTTCTATGAGTCAGGAGTCTCACAGAGCACAGCTTAACTGACTCTGCTCAAGGTATCACCAGGCTGCAATCAAGGTGTCAGCTGGAGTTGGGGGGGGTTCTTATTTAAGACTCAGGTGTGTGTTAGCAGAATCCATTTCCTTGCAGTCATAGAACTCATGATAGCTTGCCTCTTCAAGGCCAGCAAGAGAGAGTTTCTGACTTCTAGGCCCTTCTTTCTTTCTTTCTTTCTTTCTTCCTTCCTTCCTTCCTTCCTTCCTTCCTTCCTTCCTTTCTTCCTTTCTTTCTTTCTTTCTTTCTTTCTTTCTTTCTTTCTTTTTTTGAGTCTTACTCTGTCGCCCAAACTAGAGTGCAGTGGCATGCTCTCGGCCACCGCAGCCTCAACTTGCTGGGCTCCAGCGATCATTCCGCCTCAGCCTTCCAAGTAGCCGGAACTACAGGCACGCGCTACCACGCCCAGCTAATTTTTGATTTATTGTAGAGACGAGGTCTCGCCAAGTTGCCCAGTTGGGTCTCCAACCCATAGGCTCAGGCAATCCACTTGCCTTGGCCTCCCAAAGTGCTGGGATTACAGGCTGAGCCACCAAGCCCAGTCTAAGTCCTCTTTTCAAGGGTTCACCTGATTAGGTCAGGCCCACCCAAGATAGTCTCCTTATAGTCAACAGATTTGGAGACTTAACCACATTGTAAAACCCATTCATTATTTTCATATAAGGTAATATAATCATGGGAGTTACATTCCATAACTTTAGTCACATTCTATTGCTTAAAAACAAGTTACAGATCTCACCTGCACACCAGAGGAGGGTATTATACAAGGGTGTGGGACTTCCAGTTCATGTTAAGATGTGATTACATGTTGAAAATGACTAAACTCAAAGTTATGTTCAGATTGATTGCAGAGTGCCCCAGCTGCATCCCACACCGTTGGTGCCCAACCCTCAATGCCCCTAATGGTATCTTCCTCTCTCCCCCAACATCTCTCTTGATAGGGGCCATTGGCTCAGTGCTGGTGTCTGGCCTGACCCTGACACCTTTCACTTCACAGGTGTGCGACTCCGACACGAGGTTGGACCCCATGGCACTGCTGGAACTGGTGCAAGTGCTCGACGAGGACCCCCGGGTAGGGGCTGTTGGGGGGGACGTGCGAATCCTTAACCCTCTGGACTCCTGGGTCAGCTTCCTAAGCAGCCTGCGGTACTGGGTAGCCTTCAACGTGGAGCGGGCTTGTCAGAGCTATTTCCACTGTGTGTCTTGCATCAGTGGTCCCCTAGGTGAGCAGGGGCAGGGTTCCTGTGGGCCATGGATGGGATGGAGAGAGAAAAAGGGTGCTGGGGTGGAGCAGAGGTTGAGGATGTGATTGAGATTGGGGACAAAGGGGGCTGGGACAGGAACTGGGGATGGAATCAGATGGAAGTTGGCAGTGAGAATGGCATTTGGGCTGGGACTGGGTTTGGTTCAGGGAATGTGGTTGGAGAAAGAATGTGGATGGGGATTGGGGCTGCAGAAGAGTTTGGGGAAGGGGATGGGATGGGCTTGGAGTCAAGGACAGGGTTGGGGCCAGATTTGAGGTTGAAGATGGGTTTTGGGATGGGGCTATGAGAGTGGATATGAGATTGGGGTGGGATTGCAGTCTCAGTGGGTGTGGTTCAGTGACAGGCAAGTGGGATGGGTGTGAGGTTGGGGGCAGGATTTGGGCTGGAGTTGGGGTTGAGTAGAACTGAGATTGAGTCTAAGATCATGAAAAATGGGGTTGGAACCCGAGATGGGGCTGAGGCTGGGCCTGGGGATGGGGCTGGGGCTGGAGATAGCGTTGGGAATGGTGTTGACACAGCAGAGGCTGATGTTCTTCCACGCCTCCCCGCCCCCTACAGGCCTATACAGAAACAACCTCCTGCAGCAGTTTCTGGAGGCCTGGTACAACCAGAAGTTCCTGGGCACACACTGTACTTTTGGAGATGACAGGCACCTCACCAACCGCATGCTCAGCATGGGTTATGCTACTAAGTAAGCTGAGAGGATTGGGTGGTCGGGTGTGTGTGGAGGCCAATGAGTATCCTAGCAAGTGTGTGTGTGTGTGTGTGTGTGTGTGTGTATACTCCAAACTAAAAGGACCATCAAAGTGACATCACCAGGGGAGATGGACCCTACCAAGTGAGATAATAAGGTAGAGAGGAAGAGACCATAAGAGTCAGGGGTCATCTGCACTGAGCCGAAGGGCTCTACCAAGTGAGATATTTTATTTTATTTTATTGAGTTGGAATCTCACGCCGTTGCCCAGGCTGGAGTGCAGTGGAACGCTCCCGGCCACTGCAGCCTCAACCTGCTGGGCTCCAGTGATCATTCTGCCTCAACCTTCCAAGTAGCTGGAACTACACACATGCGCTCCCACACCTGGCCAATTTTTGATTTATTGTAGAGATGTCTCGCCAAGTTCCCCGGGTGAGTCTTAAATCCGCTCAAGCAATCCACTCACCTTGATCTCCCAAAGTGCTGGGATTACAGGCTGACCCACCGAGCCTGGCCTCTACCAAGTGAGATATTAGGGGAGGGGGAAGTTACCATAAGGGGCAGAGAAGGCCTCTGCACTGAGCCAGTGGACGCTACTGAGGGAGATATTAGAGGAGAGAGGAAGATACTATAAGGGGCAGAAGGGACATTTGCAATGAACCATGTGACCCTATGATCTCTACCAAGTGAGGCAAAGTGAGGGTGGGGAATTTCACCTAGAATTTAGATGGGGCAAGTTGATTCTACCATGGAGAACAAGGCAGCACAGATCACTCCAAGTGTGGAGTGAGGCGAGGTGGGAAGGGCAAAGATGAATGGATAGGGTGGGATCTAACTAGTGAGAGTGCCCTTGAAAAAGAATCCAGTGGCAGAGGGGACCACCTAAACTCTAGTAAATGTCAGGGGAAGAGAAACAATTCAGTGAGATTCAGAGGAGTGTGGTCTAGACCAACTGGAGTTCCTCTTCTTGGGGGAGAGTGATTTCTACAAAGCCAGACCCAGTGAAAGACCCAGAGAGGCCGGGCTCATTGGCTCAGCCTGTAATCCCAGTGATTTGGGAGACTGAGGTGAGTGGATTGCCTGAGCCCATGGGTTCGAGACCCACTTGGGCAACTTGGTGAGACTCCATCTCTATAATAAATAAAAAATTAACCTGGGCGTGGTACCGCACGCCTGTAGTTCCAGTTACTTGGAAGGCTGAGGCAGAAGGATTGCCAGAGTCCAGCAGGTTGAGGCTGCGGTGGCCGGGAGCGTGCCACTGCACTCCAATCTGGGCAACAGAGACTCCAACTCAAAAAAAAAAAAAAAAAAAAAAAAAGAAAGACCCAGAGAGAACTTGGGATATACCAAGAGGATCCATTCATTCACTCGACAGATATTCCATTTTGTGCCTACAAGGTATCTCTGGGAATGCTGTTGTGGACAACAGGGACAGCAATTCATGCTCACGTTGACCAGGGAGACAGAAAATAGAGAAGATACATACATAGAACATACAGCATGGGAAGGAGATGTGCTCTGGAGATAATGTCAGGAGGTGGGTAGGAAGTTTTCAGGAGGGGAAGGAAGTTGTTCAGTGGAGTTCTTGGAGTAGGAAGTGGATCAAGGCTGAGAGTCCTGGAGTGCTGAGCTGGGGGAGTGTTCAGAGGATGAATGTTAACAAGGGTCCACTCGGAAAGGCTCACAGGCTATGGTGAGGACTTTGGGCTAAGACGAGGGAGGGTTTAAAGCAGAGCAGGAATCCTCTGGAAGCTCTTTTTTTCGAGTTGGAGTCTTCCTCCATCACCCAGGCTGGAGTGCAGTGGCACACTCATGGCCACCCCAGCGTTGAACTGCTGGGCTCCGGCAATCCTTCTGCCTCAGCCTTCCAAGTAGCCAGAACTACAGGTGCATGCTACCACGCCTGGCTAATTTTTTGATTTATTGTAGAGATGAGGTCTCACCAAGCTGCCCAGAGCTGTTCTCAAACCCGTGGGCTCAGGCAATCCTTTCACCTTGGCCTCCCAAAGTGCTGGGACTACAGGCTCAAACCCGGCCTGGCAGCTGTTTTGAGGACAGATTGCAGGAGACAAGGTCGGAAGCTGGCAGGCCATTGGGGATGCCAAGTGACTGGACATGGTCGAGTCATGCCGGGATTCCAGCCTGTGTGGACTTGACTGGAAACCATTCAGGAACTGCTTAATGATGTCTGCCAGGACACAGGAAGAGGGCCTGAGGGTTCCCTTGAAAAGCTCTGACACAGGGATGACCCTAGGTAGCAACCTCGCCTGTCTCGCTCCTCACTGTAGAGCCTGCCAACAATAGTATGCATGATTGTATTAGTAATATCTTAGTGATAGTATTAGTAATAGTGTCAGTAACCACTAGGATATTAGTAATGGCAATAGTAATGGCATTAGTCATAGTAAAACAGAAGTAGCTGACATTTATTAAGTACTACTTAGTTCCCTAAGCACTTGGCATTGAATCCTCCTCATTCAATCCTCACTAAGTCCTTCTTAGATATTATTATTATTGCTGTTATTAGAGTCAAGGTCTTACTCTTGCCCAGGCTGAAATGCAGTGGCATAATTATGGCTCACCACTGCCACAACCTCCTGGGCTGACGCCCCCGTGTCTCACCCCGTGCAGGTATACCTCCCGGTCCCGCTGCTACTCGGAGACGCCCTCGTCCTTCCTGCGCTGGCTGAGCCAGCAGACGCGCTGGTCCAAGTCGTACTTCCGCGAGTGGCTGTACAACGCGCTGTGGTGGCACCGGCACCACGCGTGGATGACCTACGAGGCGGTGGTGTCGGGCCTCTTCCCCTTCTTCGTGGCGGCCACAGTGCTGCGGCTGTTCTACGCGGGCCGCCCGTGGGCGCTGCTGTGGGTGCTGCTGTGCGTGCAGGGCGTGGCCCTGGCCAAGGCGGCCTTCGCGGCCTGGCTGCGGGGCTGCCTGCGCATGGTGCTGCTGTCGCTCTACGCGCCCCTCTACATGTGTGGCCTCCTGCCCGCCAAGTTCCTGGCGCTGGTCACCATGAACCAGAGCGGCTGGGGCACCTCGGGCCGGCGCAAACTGGCCGCCAACTACGTCCCGGTGCTACCCCTGGCCCTGTGGGCGCTGCTGCTGCTCGGGGGCCTGGTGCGCAGCGTGGCGCAGGAGGCCCAGGCCGACTGGAGCGGCCCCTCCCGGGCTGCCGAGGCCCGCCACCTGGCTGCGGGGGCCGGCGCCTACGTAGGGTACTGGGTGGTCATGCTGACGCTGTACTGGGTGGGCGTGCGAAGGCTCTGCCGGCGGCGGGCGGGGGGCTACCGCGTCCAGGTGTGAGGCCTGCCTCCTCCAGGCTCTTCAGGGGGAGGCCAGGGGCCAGAGGGGACCCCCGGAGGGGGCCCGGGAGCCACAAACCTGCCAGGTGGTTGTCCGGGCCTCGGTTTCCCTCTTCTGTGAAGCGAAGGGGTCATGGACCCAAGAGTCTTCAGTCTGAACTGTATTGGGGCTGGGACTTCTGGATCTCTGGGGAGGGGTATTTATTGATCAGGGTGTGGGTTTTTAGGAGCTGACTCGAAAGGACCCGCTTTCTCCCTGTTCTTACTGGATCTCCATTTGTACTGTGTGATGAGGATATAATAAAGAACTTTATTTATTTTCTCTGAGCTTCCCTCTTGTTTGAGAACTGGGGAGACTGCAGGATGGAGAACTGTCTTGGGTGCTAGCTGCTTGAACCTGGACAACACACCCTTCTTCTTGGAAACCCCATTTTCCTCTTCAGAAAATAGGGTTATTAATCCCATGGATCAAAATTGTGGGATTAAATTACTCAACTCATTCACAGATACCTACGGAGCATCACCTACCTGCTGGACACTGCCAGGCACCACATAGTGCTTTTGGCCCTGGTCCATCCCCTCCGAAGGCTAACTCATTCCTTTTCTCCCCAAACCCCCAGCACCTCCTCCTAACTGGCTTCCTATCTCACTGAGAAAATGGAGGTGACAAGCAGAGGCTTTCAGAGTCCCCAATCTCTACAACTTCCCATTTATGTCTGTCCCCACACATGTGCCTTTGTCCTGCTGGTGAAGTGTACTGCCTGCGCTCGGAGCCAATGCCAATCTCTTCCACTTGGACACTCAGCCCCATGTCCTCCTGTCTTCTCAAAGATCTCACGCTGGCAGTTCTCACCTGACCCTCCATTATCAGGTCTTTTCTTTTGGATGCTTTTCCATCAGCATCCAAACATGTTATTCTTACGTTTTTAAGACTCCCACTCTTGACCTTAGATTCCCCGTGAGCTACTGTTTCATCTCTCTTCCCATTAACAGCAAAACTCCTTGAGAGAGTTGTCTGTACTTGTTTGCAATTTCTCTCCCGCAGAGTTCACCCCTTGCACATGTATAGCATATTTCAATGGTTTTTAGTAAGTTTACAGATTTGTACAGCTATCACCGCAACTTAATTTTTTATTTTTAAAAAATTGTTTTTTGAGACAAGGTCTCACTCTATCACTCAGGCGAGAGTGCAGTGGCCTGATCATGGCTCACAGCATCCTTAACCTCCGGGGCTCAGGTGAACCTTCCACCTCAGCCTCTTGAGTAGCAGGGACTACAGGTGTGTGCCACCATGCCCAGTTAAATTTTTTTTTCTTTGTAGATACTAGTTCTGGTTATGTTGCCCAGGCTGGTCTCGAACTTCTGGGCTCAGGCGATTCTCCTGTCTCAGCCTTCCAAAGTGCTAGGATTACATCCCAATCCATCAGCAAATTCCACTAGTTCTACCATCACAGCACATCTGGAGCCACTGCTCCTTAACCCCCTGTGCCCAGACTGCATCCCTTGCCTGGGTCATTGCAGCACATCCTGGTGATGCCTGGGTCCACACTTGCTCTGATCTGCCATCCACATAGTAGCTGTGGAAATCAAATCATGACCTTCCTCGGCTCAAAAGCCACCCATGGCTAGGCACAGTGGCTCACACCTATAATTCCAGCACTTTGGGAGGCCAAGGGGGAGGATTGCTTGAGCCCAGGAGTTCAAGACCACCCTGGGCAATATAACAAGACCTCATCTCTACAAAAAAATTAAATTAGCTGTGTGTGGTGGCACACACCTATAGTCTCAGCTACTCAGGAGGCCACTGCACCAAGCCTAGTCTAGTTTTAGGACATTTTCAACACCCCAGAAGGAATTCTGTACCCACTGGTAGTCACTCCTCATTCCTCACTCTGTTATTCCCCAAAGTCCTAAGCAGTCACTGATCTGCTTTCTGCCTCTACAGATTTACCTATTCTGGACATTTCACATGAATTGCTTTACAAAAAGGCAATATGTGTTTTCTTGTGACTGACTTCTTTCATTTAGTGTAATGTTTTCAAGGTTCATCCATGTTGTTGTATGTATCACTGGCTCATTCCTTTTTATTGCCAAATAATATTTCATACCGTGGACAGATCACATTATTGTTTATCCATTTATCAGTTGGTGGACAGTGGGATATTTCCATTTCTTAGCTATTACGAATGATGCTACTATGAACAATCACGCACAAGTTTTTGTGTGGACATAGGTTTTAAAAAACATTTTTATTTTTTTAAGAGACAGAGTCTCACTATATTGCCCAGGCTGGACTCAAACTCCTGGGTTCAAGTAATCCTTCTACCTCAACCTCCTGAGTAGCTAGGATTATAGGCACGCACCACCATGCCTGGCTATGGACACAGGTTTCTAATTCTTTGGGGCATATACCTAGGAACTGAATTTCTGCATCCTATGGTAATTCTAGGTTTAATTTTTTGAGGAACTACTGGACTGTTTTCACAGGGGCTGTACTGTTTTACATTCCCACCAGTAATGTTTGAAGGTTCCAGTTTCCCTATTTTCTGGTTGCATTTGTTGTTTCCTGAATTTTTTTTATGCCAACCAACCTACTGGGTGTGAAATGGCATCTCCTTGTGGTTTTAATTTACATTTCCCTAATGACTAGTGACATTGACTCCTATGCCAATCAGATGGTCATGACTCCCCATGGAAACTCCTCTTGTCAATTTCACCAATGATATCCACATCCACAAAGTTCACCAATGATATCCACGTGGCTAAAACCAATGACCAATGCTCGGGACTCCCATTTCATGATTAGGCAGCTGCATCTGACACCATGATCTCTCCTCGAAATGCTTTCTTCACTTGGTGTTCAGAATGCCATAGTCACCTTGCTTCCCTCCATCCTCTGTTTTCTTTCCTGGGTCCTCTTCTCTTATCCATAGACACCCATTTCCCCTGTGCTCCCAGTGTTGTGGCTCCAAATGCCCCATTCAAGCTCCATTCAGGGAGATGGGACTCCCAGACATATCTTCAGACCAGATCTCACCCCTAAATCCCAGACTTGTATATCTAACTGCCTCCAAGATATTTCCACTTGGATACTTAATAGGCATCTCATGCCCAACTCCTAATCTCTTCTCCCCTTCCTCCAGGCTAATCCCCAGAAAACTTGCTCCCACCCACCAATAGTCTTCCTATCCCAGTAAACAGAACTGCATCCTCTCAGTTGCTCAGGCCAAAAATGTTACTGTTTAACTGTCCACAACAGTAGCTGCTACCACATGGAATTATTTAAAACATTTCCCCCATTCATTCATTTTTTAAAGTCCATCAGTCACACATACACAAAAAAATTTTACAAAGTACCTACTGAATTCCACACACTTTTCCAGTCTTGCAAGTATAGGAATAATTGAGAGGCAGCTTCTGTCTTCAAGGAGTTCCTGGTCAAGTAAACAAAGTGTTCCTGTGGTCCGCAGGGAAGAAGACCCAGGCACATGCCTCTGCAACTTCTGTTGTCATAGAACAGGAACTACTTAACTTTTAAGGAGCTGACTTTGCAGCAACTTGAATGGATTTAGAGGTTATCATACTCAGTGATCTATCACAGAAACAAAGAACTGAGTACCACATGTTCTCACTCTTAAGTGGACCCTGAGCATTTATTCTAATACTACAAGAAAGGAATTGGCAGTAGTGGGACACTCCCAGAGCAGGGCAGGGTGGGGAAGGGGCATGTAACATCAGTAAGGATACCTGATCCCAAACCAGGCGATGTGAGGACCAATGGGAGGCCTAAACTTCACCTGTATGTTGACCACTTAGGTACCTAATCCTGAATTGTACTCCACATCTTTAAAATAAAACAAAAACACAAAAACTTTCAATGAATTAACGCTACCTAAGGTTACAAAGACTATACTTTCAGGAATTGTTTCTATAGTTCATTACTAGAGAAGTTTCCCTAAATATATAGAGCACCAAAGGAAAAACAAAAAAGGCTGGGTGTGCTGACTCATGCCTGTAATCCCAGTACTTTGGGAGACTGAGGCAGGCAGATCGCTTGAGCACAGGAGTTCAACATCAGCCTGGGGAACATAGCGAGGCCCTGTTTCTAAAATAATAATAATAATAATTAGCTGGCTGTGGTGGCCTGTGTCTGTAGTTCTAGTTATTCAGCAGGCGGAAGTGGGAGGATCAACCTGAGCCCAGGAGGTCGAGGCTGCAGTGAACTCCATGATTGTGCCACCGTACTCCAGCCTGGGAGACAGAGTGAGACCACAACTCAAAACAAACAAATAATAGAACAAAGCTGCCTAAGATGAAAATTCAGCTGTACTGGATACTTCTCACGTGTTTCATGACCACACATGCTGGTGCTGCCCTCCTGGACGCTGCAGATCCAGAACACCTCCATCATGACATAGGCTTCCACTGGACAGTGCTGCTGTGATTATCCTTGATCTTTCTCTTTCTCTCACACCCAACATCCCGATCCATCAGTAAATTCCACTAGTTCTACCATCACAGCACATCTGGAGCCACTGCTCCTTAACCCCCTGTGCCCAGACTGCATCCCTTGCCTAGGTCATTGCAGCACATCACGTCATGCCTGGGTTCACACTTGATCTGATCTGCCATCCGCACAGTAGCTGTGGATATCAAATCATGACCTTCCTCGGCTCAAAAGCCACCCATGGCTGGGCACAGTGGCTCACACCTATAATCCCAGCACTTTGGGAGTCTGAGGTGGGAGGATTGCTTGAGCCCAGGAGTTCAAGACCAGCCTGGGCAACATAGCAAGACCTCATCTCTACAAAAAAATTAAATTAGCTGTGTGTGGTGGCACATACCTATAGTCTCAGCTACTCAGGATGTTGAAGTGTAAGGATTGACTGAGTCCAGGAGCCAGGAGGCTGCGGTGAGCCGTGATTGTGCCACTGTGCTCCAGCCTAGGTGACAGTGAGAGCCTGACTCAAAAAAAAAAAAAAATTACTCACATCTCTTACAGAGGAAAGCCCAGCGACCAACATCCTGCATGAGTTGGCCTCCGTGTTCTCTGACTTCACCGCGTAATCATTTCCCAAGGCTTTGTTCCAGCAGCACTGGCCTCCTTCCTCAAGGCATTTCCCTTTTAAAATGTTTGCCTGGGTCACTCTTTTTTAAAAAAATATTTTAATTTTAAAGATGTGGGGTACAATTCAGGTTAGTTATACAAATGTTCAATATGCAGGTACCCTTGTTGATGAGGTGAGCCCCTCCCTCCCCTGGCAGTTTTCCTCAACTGTCAATTCCACCCCCCT